GAATGGCAAAATTAAATAGTGACAAAATTATTTGCAATTAAAAGTCATGGCAGCTACATCCCCACTTAGTGGAAGCCTCGAGTTCTAGTCACTGCAAAACTACTCACAATTCAGAGGACAGGGGAATTTTATAATGTTTTGGTTATGCATAAAAAAAATAAACACATAAACATTGAAGTCATCAACTCAATGACAAGAAGTACAGAAGGTGATTTGTGTATGCTTTAAGCTCTAACCTGAATAACAGCCTTTTCACCATCAACCTCCAGAACTTGTCCACGCCGTGTAGTTCCATCTCCTAAACGAATATTAACAATCTCTTGATATTTGGGTCCCTGATGCATTTGATCAGTATAAACTTTAGTCACACCAGAAGGAAGGACATTCTCATTGAGAAAAATCAAAATACCAAAATATTCAATAAGAATATCAGCAAGCAGACTTGCATTACCTTAACTTTATCAAGAATGACCAATGGTCCAGCAACTCCAGATACAGTTCTGTATTCTGCAACATTAATTAACAAACAAACAATTTAGGGTGAAACTGAATAATAACAGAATGTATACCACACAAGTTATCAATGTTGATTGATCAGGTGTCAACCCAGTAGTCTACTAGTCTTGCTACTAAATTCTCTTTCGTGCATAATGGCAAGCATTAAACATCCTTTCTTCATTTATCAATAACTGGGTTATACAGACCCATAGGGAATCTAATCATAGTAGAAAATTAAGACAGGTAGACCAATACGACACGTACCCATTCCTATCTCCAAGGTACCCTCCTCCGTATCTTGAGTCTTCTGAGCCACACCCATTTTGGAACTTCAAACAAGCAGACAAAAGAAGAATCGTACAAAAGTCAATACATGCCACAGCAAAAACACAAATAAGAAGCAATGCTAAAACGGCACTGCCTTCGTCAATAATTAAGACAAAGCAAACACCAAAAACACAACCCAAAACAAGTTAATTCACTCACAAAAAAAATATCCCTGAAAGATTAGTGCATCGCCACAGAATTCTCAAAAGATTGTTGTCTCAAACAAACAATTAAGAATCTAATTTTCAGAACATTAATTCATATGTCTACTTTAGCGATAAAAACAACACTTAATGTATAATCCAACTTGAACCCGTCCAAATTGCACTTCATTAATAAGCCAAAAAAATAATAATAGAAGGGGGGAGGAAAAAAGTATGGCTTGATCCGAGTCAATCGCTACTGAACTAAGTGGCTGAACTCAGAAAAAATAAAATATACAGATTCACAAACAACACCAATGATATGATATTAATCTTAAAATTTGAAAGCACTATATCTATAGCCTTATTCCAGTTGGTAAGTGGACGAACTACGAGCTAGTTTTCATTCATATATTACTCAAACCTTGTAATAAACGAAGGAAATACGATACTCAAAGATTTGGTCGAAACGGCATAACAGAGAGATCGAGAAACGCAGAATTGAATAGTGATTGTAAGATCGAAGCGAGAGGAATGAGAAAATGGATCGGAAGAGAGAAAAACATACCAATGAAACGATTTCGACGCTCGTGATCTGAAGCGAGACAGAGATGTGAGGGAGGCAGAGACAGTGGGTGAGGAACACGGATCTATTGGACCAAAAAATTTAACAAAACCGAAAATTATTAAATCTCTATTTTTTTAATTCAAAAAATAAATAAGTAAAATCATTTCGAATTTCCACTTTCGACTTTGATTTGATGAGTAACTGCATTTTAACAATTTTCTCAGGTGGAAAAATGAAAATAATAATAAAAAAAAAAAAAGAGCCATACCTACGTGGTGTCAGGTGCCAAGGATGACACGTTGCTTTTTTGGTTTCGTCCTTTCTCGTATTTAATTGAGGAACAAATTCATAATTCTTTTCAATCATTACCTCATCTCATTTTGCCTCATTTCATATGGTCCTTCTTCTCCTTTTAATAATCTTTCCATTATTGTATTTATTTTGTTAACTTTATGTTTTTATTTTAATTTAACTATCAAATTATGTGAGTGCCTTTATTTTCCTTGTTTATTTATTGTCTTTTTTAATTAAATAACTTTTATTTAAAACAATTCCATCACTAATACAGTTATAACAAAATTTAAAATTTACTCAAATATGAGTTATAACAAACAGATTCTTGAATGTAATATTATTTATAAAATTAAAATATTTATTACATAGAAGAAAGAAATGAATAACAAATATATTTTAAAATAAAACTTATTGCTATTATTAGATATTTATATTTCATTATGATGTCTAAAACTTATTTTATAAAATAAATAAAAATATATAAAATTATGTAATTATTATCTTAGAAATATAAAATATATTAAATATTTTCCATATTTAATAATTGAAATAATTATAAGAATAAACTATAAAATTCTTTAGAATTATGTTTTAAATAAAACATTTTTATTTTCGTGTCTCTTTATATATATTTCAACTATAATTCCTAAATAAAAGTCTTTTTAATAGTCATCTTTACATAAATATGTTTATGATAATTTTTTAATAATAATTATATTATTATTATTATTATCATCATCGAAGATTTTAATATTACAGTTGATTATAAGCATTTAATATATATATATATATATATATATATATATATTAAAAAATATATTTATAATCTTTTATGTAATAACTTCTTCTCAAAAAATTAAAATTTTAGTATATATCCATTTTATATGTTAAGAAACATTGAATATATTCTATTAGATATTTCTACATTATTTTAAAAAATAAACATTAAATATTTATTTTTGGTTTAAAAAAATTCAATTTTAATATATTTTTCAATTTTCTAAAATGTATTATCAAATACACATTTAAAAATATTTTTGATTAAATACTAAAATTATATAAATTAATTCATTGGCCTAACCTACCTTCATTATAATATAAGTTATAACATATATATCTGACAAGTTACATATGTATTTAAATAATAATAATAATAATAAATCAGAAAATAGAAAATTTTATAACAAAAAAATAATAATCTACAAGCATATGACTTTCTAAATTTTTAGGATAAATTTTGATAATTTTAAATAAATAAATATAAAATATTTTTTAATTAAAACAACATATTGCTAAATATGTAGATTAATTAATTAAATAATATTTTAGTTTAACTCGTTATCTTAAATTCAAATATAATAACGTAGTTATAATAGGCTTCCTTATTCCTTTTAAACTGGGCTTTGGAAAATTTTATTAGGACTATAGCTTGTAATTTAGGCAAATATATGCATGATTTTGGTTTAAACTGATTCTAAGAAATTTTTATCCTTAGTTTTAAAACTTCAGTGCTATAATTATTCTTTATTATTATTATTTTTTATTAAGAACATTTAAGAATTTTTTTAAATGTATATTTTTTATTTACTTAGCCACATTTTGAGGGAAGTCAATTAATATACTGATAGTGTCCATTTTTGCTGTTTTGATGAGATTTCTCTGTCCATTTGTCCATTATTGAGTTTAGATTATTTAAGAATTTGGACTTGAAGACCTATGTAAGTTTTTAGTTTTTGAACTTTTTAACTTCTTTGATTATAAAAAAATAAAATAAAAAATTTTCATTTGTAATAGTTTTATCCATTTAAATACGTTAAAAAATAATTTTATGAGTTTAAATAAATTTATGATTTACATATAGTAAAACACAGTATTTTATTAAATAAATTCATTCGACGTATATGAATATAAATAACTGTATATTATTGTTTTTTAAAAAGGTCGGATTTTTAGTACAATTATATACTTAAATAATTTTTTTCAAACCTTGTTTGGATAAAATAATTTAAGAAGAAAAATATTTAATAGAGAAAACATTATTTTCCTAGTTTAAGATACTTCAAAGTTAATAAAAGGGGAAAAGTGCGGATCTTACTATAAAAAACCAGCTGGGGGTCTACTGAGGGTTTGTCAATCTTCTTTCATTTATTTTTTATTTTAAATAATATTTTACACAATATAAAACTTATTAAAAAATGTTAAGAAAAACAATGTAGTAAAAAATTAATTATTTTTTTCACAATTTTTATAAATAAATTTTAGTATAAACTATTTATTTTTATTAATACAGAAAAACAAGATATGTAAATATGGGTAAACTACAAATGATTATCAGAACAATAATTTATATTTAAAGTGAATTTCGGTGTTTTGAAGTGAAAAATAAGCAACCTTTTAAAAATTAAGGATATATGCAGTAAAAAAGTTTTTTAAAAAAATCAACAAAATTAATTTTAAATTTTTGAAGGGAATTAAATAAGTCCACAAATTAATCTAAATATATATTTTTATTGAGATGTGCACTTTTTATTTGAGAAGTTATTTTTTAGCTTAAATCGAAAATTGGAAATTTTATTCTTAATAATCAACATTATAACGTTTTTTTTTTCTTTTAAAAAAACATTTATTTATAAAATCACACTTGAAAAGTAAACTAAACCAGTTATAATTTTTTAGATAGACGTATCATGCTTCTAAAGTGTTTTCTAACTTGGTTATTGAAGGCTATGTGCACTTGAACGACATTGCTTCACATGTGTCACGTTTAAAAATAATGCAATATATTATTTCTTAATTAATAAATCAAGGCACTGAACAAGAACAACCAATGTCAGAAAACTAATTTAAATAATTATTGAAAATAAATACCTTTTGTTTTTTGTAAATTGCATTTTCACACATCTGTTGATAAATAAATATGAGATTTACGAATTATTTAGCTAATAAAGTAATAATTACTTTTATTTTTTTTAATTTGACCAGTTATACTCACACAATCAACACAATAATGTGGCGTAGAAGAAACAAAGACGCGACTCTATTGTAATAATAACCGGTGAGATGATGATTTTTTTGCATCAACGGTGGAGAAGGAACGAGAGTGTTCTGTCACTGCAACAAAACAAACGTGGATGTTGCCGTTAAAACTCACTATTTCAACATTTCTCACTCACTCGAAGCCTCACATTTTATTTTTCTCACAGAAAAATAGAATACATGGCTGCCACTCTCTCCGTCCGGCCCGACCGTCTATCAGCCGGTTCACCCTTCCCTAGACCGCCGGTTCGGCGACTCGACGCGGCTCCGCTGGGAAAACCACTCGTAAAGCGAGCCGCGCCGCCGCAGATACAGTGTAGACGCAGGACGGTGGCACCGGTTCAAGCCGGTTCGCGAGCCGATGACTCAGCACCGTTCGAGATGTCGATGGAAAACGCGCTGAAGCTCTTGGGCGTGTCGGAGGGAGCTTCCTTCGAGGACATACTCCGCGCCAAAAACTCCATCCTCGCCAATTGCAAAGATGACCAAGAAGCCATTGCACAGGTTTTCTTCAATTCCCAACGCTAATCACAAATATATAAAAAATATTTTTTTGTTTTTATTCAAAATATCTTGAATTCGTTTGTGATTTGATGATGCGGAATCATAAATTAGTTATGGTTGTTGTTACTCTTTAACTAGTTTCAGTTACCGTTGTTTGTTAGTTATATCAGAATTAGTTATGAGAGAAACACTGATAAAATTGATATTTGGTGGCGGGTTTTTTAGGTTGAGGCTGCATATGACATGCTACTCATGCAGAGCCTAATTCAGAGGCGAGCAGGGAAAGTAGCCAACAATAGTGTTCGCTATGCTGATGTCAAACGTGTGAAGTCGCCGGCGGCTATCGGATCGATGCCTCAGTGGTTGAAGAATTCACCTGTGTCAATTGAGTCACCTTCCACCAGTGATTTTGGTTTACAGGCTGGAGTGTATGGTGCATTGATGGGTTTAACCTATCTTAATGGGGCTGCTGCACCCTCCGCGTCTTATGCCGGAGCTGATGTTCCTGGACTCATCTTGGCTGGTAGCTTTGGAGCTTCATTGTATTTCATGACCAAAAAGAATGTTAAGTTAGGTAAGGAGCTTTCTCATTCATATTGTGCTCCATGACTGGCAATCTTTGTTTTGATCTGTATGTTGGAAAGAAAGTGAGCATTGGGAAGGCTATAATGAGTGGGAAAGCTAGAGAAAAATGAAAATCATCACGATGAGATTTGCCTTAGCAACAAGTGGGATGAATCAAGGGCAATTTTTGGTGGTAATGTAAGGTCTCTGTGGATGATGAGACTTTGCATGATGTAGATTTAAAGTTACGTTTTAATCGTTCAGGATATAGCATTTTGTTTGCTGAACTTTTCACTTACACTGTAACTAGACACAAAGTGCACAATCAGTGGCTGCATTGTTAAGCAGTTCACTGGAATTTGTCATAAGATTGAGCCAACCTGTTGAATTGACTTCATTTCTTATGTTCTCCCAGACCAGGCTCCCATTATTAAAAGTTTGTTTTTTGGTTTATATAAAAGAATTGTATTTCTGATGTTACTAATCTGGATACTGCTTGCTTGTGTCTCTGAGGTGAGGGCTTAATTTACCTAACATGAAGATTATGTCTATGTAAATGGCTGTCTGGAGGGAATAAGAAGTATCAAATGCCTTTTTTTCCAAATAAGTTTGGATAAACTTATTAAGAGTGCTTATAAAAGAAAATAAAGAGGTAAAATGAATCAACTTTTGCAGTTTACTTTTTTTAGAATCTCTCTCATTTAACTTCAAAAGTTTAGGTGTATAAATTAATTTTAACTTTCCGAGAGAAAATTGAGTTATTTTACTATTGTATTTCCTTTCCTTTAAGTACTTATTGAAAAGTTTATCCAAACTGGGCTGAAGTATGACATTGCCGTGAAAAAGTTGACCTACTCAATAAATGACACTTCATCTACGGGCGGTTGAGATCTTTTTTAAAGCTTGCCTGATCTTTTGCCTATTCCTTAAACTCTGCTTTATCATTTTGGATTAATATAAACGGTTTTTTTCACTTTCTCATTTTCCTCCTAATGTATTTTGCTTATTTTCTGCAGGGAAGGCCACTGTTATAACCATAGGAGGGCTTGTAGTCGGTGCTGTTGTAGGGTCAGCAGTAGAGAACTGGTTGCAGGTAGATGTTGTCCCATTCCTGGGCATACACTCCCCTGCTGCTGTTGTTGGTGAAATCATTATTATATCTCAATTCTTGGTTTCTTTGTACCTAAGGTAGACAAGAAAACATGGTGATCTTACATTAAAATGTGAAACTTGTAATTATTCATTTGCATGCAGCATGATCATACCAGGTAGACAGGGAAGGCTACTGTTGTAACCATAGGACTCATAACTGGCCTTGTGGTTGGGTCAGCTGTAAAGAAGTGGTTGTAGGTGGATATGATCCCATTTCTGGGCATACACTTTCCTGCTCCTGTTGTCAGTGATATCATAATTCTCTCTTAGTTCTTTGTTTCTCTGTACCTAAGGTAGACAGGAAAGAATGGCAATCTTATATTAAAATGTGAGACGTGTAACTATTCATTTGCATGCAGCATGATCATACCCCAGCTTTTTTTAGGATGTGAAATCACTGCATATTGTACAATACTTTGAACAGGATGTAGTTGTTTATCTGGCAAATTAGAAGCGTGAAACATATTCTGGAAAGATGCTGATTTATGTTCACAGTTGGTGAGCAATTTGAGTGTATTGCTATCTCAATAAATATTGGTTTCCTTAATAAACCAAATGAAAATAACACTTGGGAGATGTTTCCTTTTTAATCCTTTAAAGGTGTTTTTAACCTTTCATTATTGAGTGTTTCTCGTTTCTTTTCCAAATTTAAAGCATGGAAGTGATTTTCCTGGCCCACCACAGGGCAAATGGTGGATATGCTTGAATGTTTAAGATGGATTTCAAACCATGTTACTTTGAACCTGCTACATTTTGGCATTTTGTCCCAAAGCTTTATGGTAGTGCAGCTGTCTTATGCTTTTTCCGTGTAGGTCATAAGCACCTGCCTTTTGTACTTGTACATATCTCACCCAAAGACTGCACCTCGAATTCGACACAACTTGTGTTTAGATGAAGTTACAAAAAAGGCATACATTTCACTTTGTTCGCCAAATGCTGGGTTTCCACACACACGCACACGCACACGCACGTGCACTCACACTGATATTAAGTACATGTATAGTGGAACGTAAGTCTGCTTAGTTAAAGAGACTGTTTTTTGTATTGTCAAATTTTGAGTCCGTAAAATATTTATTTCTAGCTCTTTTTATAAGAAATAAATAATTAATCCATTAATCATTTGTATATATAAATTTTTCATCTTTTTGTTTTTGTCAGTCATGGTTTTTTCCCCCGGTTACAAAGAGGGATAAACAGGCCAAGAACAAAAATGGTACAGCCGAAGCACCTCAGGCTTCTAGCAAGATCAGCAAAACCCACAAGGAGGCCGATCAAAATGGTACAGGCCAAACTTTGATATTACCAGTGACCCATCACTAATCAGCAACCCAATTATCCTCCCTCAATGCATTAGTCATCTTAGTTCTCAATCTCTAAGCACAAAAGAGAACACTTTCCTTTAGTAAATTATTTATAAATTGTAATATAATAAATACACAAAAGGGGCAGTCAATAGAGATGTAAAGGAAATTACAACCAACGCCAATCCAAGAGCAATGCAGAATCATATTCGCTAACTTGTTAAATTTAATTATACCGCAAGTGTTAATAACATCCTCTCATTTTCTTGATCCTTTTTTCACCTTCTAAACACAATATGGGGAGAAACATCGAGAATTGACAATCAACATAGTGGACAGTCTCAGCAAATAGGAACTGCTAATACAATAGTGCAGTTGATCAACTAATAGTACCTTAAAAATCGATGTCTCAGCGAGATGCTTCGACATAACACAACACATAATAACATTATAATTACAAAAAGCACCCCAAATCCACAAATATCTCCCTCACTAATACTATTGTCCATTTTGGCTGTTGCAATTTTCAACATTGCAACCAACTTCTATATACGTTATGTTCCCAGTTTTGTCACTATTTTCACTATAAGTTACAAGACCATTGTACATTTTTTGGGATGCTTTGGAGAACTCTGTTAAAGATTCAAACACTACAGAAAACCCAGATTGCAATCCATGTAACGTGATCCTCTGTGTTTCTTGCATGCAACTGTGGTGCTTCTCCTTCTCTACCTCAACTTTTCTTCTTAGTGTCTCCAAGTGATCATTCTTATCCATCATGCATTCGTCTTGACTACCTGTTCCTGCCTCTGAATTCTGGTCCGAGACATGCAACTCAAGCATCTTAGTCTCCACTTTATGTGATCCTGAATATCTTCTGTCCAAATATTTTTCTAGCCTGTCTATTCTCCTTTTCTGCTGCTGCTCTTTATTTTGCTGAAGCCACAGAGCTCTCACATCCTTCACGACACTTTTCAATGCAACTGTTACCATTTTATCAGGTAATTTTTGCAGGGAAGATAACCAATCATTGCATATCACCAGTAGTGGTGGCCCGTTGACTTGATATGGAATAGCAACATTTTTTCTTCTTGAATAAAATTCAACTTCAGGGACTATGAACTTACTCAGCCATCCATGCAGCGCTTCAACATATGCTTTTTGCGCTGCAGTATACTCTTTAAAGCAGTCGCGCCAATTTTGAAGCTGAGCTTCGAGTTGAAGTGTTGCAAGTCCATGGGATTGATTGCAGAATTTCCCATATGTGGCACATGTGAAATATTTGACCTCAGAGAGAATCTTCTTCTGGGTTTCATGGGACTCCAACATAATTTTCCATGATTGGGTCAGGCTGCATTAGGAAAAGGGTATGTAAGAAATCAATGAAACTCAATAATTTAGTCTGTTTAGATTCCAGTGGTAATCTTATCCCACCCTTTTAATAGTTCGACAATTTGAGGTTGTAATTCTTCATCTCTCATTTTCTGAATTCTCTTTGAAATTGACTCTGCACGTCGAATTGCAACCAAGATCCCAGCATATAGATCTTTCACTTCAGCTCTAGTTTTGTCTGTGCTTAGTTCATCATCTCCTCTAACGTTCTTATTTCTCAGCTGCGTGCATTTTTTCTCATAATTTTTCCGGGTGCTATCTCCAGCCTAGGGTAAGGAAAGTTTTCAAATGTTGAAAGTGAAACAAGGCCATGCTTGAAAAATACAAGATCTGATAAGAATGAAAAAAGAAATTTAAAATTCTCAAGGGAAGTTGATTTCAGTCATCTCTTTGTTTTGGTCATTATCAAGGACATGTTGTGAAGTTTAGCAGTTTGGTTATGGATAGAAAAAATTCATTCAATGTAATGCATACAAAGAGACATAAGAAAATATTAATATTTTCAATGTGTTCTCTGTGATGTGATACATGCAGTTAGACAAAACAATCACACACTTAGAAAAATGAAAAGCCATGATTGTCTTTAGTTCAAATTTTCTAGATTATTCCACGTTAAAATAATTGAAGATATTTTTTTATCACCAATCTGAGTTTGCCTAAAAGGAAACATAATAAATGAGGCATATATTAAAAATATAACAAACAGAATAAGAGAACTTATGCATGATTTGCAAGATGTAAAAAAAGTAACATGTTGAAGCAGCATAATGATAAAACAGAAAATATGGATTAAAAAAGGAATTATAAAATTAACCTACCTTAACCTCATCAAACAGTTTCTTTTCCCATGCATATAACCTTCCTAAGGTTAACAAATGACTTCCTGAATCCATTCCTCCATAATCATCAAACAGATCATTCTTATATTCCACCCAAGTTGAAGAATTTCTTGTATTTGGCACCATGAGACTCTTGCATGACGATTGCCTAGATGAAATAGACTTCCATGTTATTGCATGAATGAGTTTGGTCGAACTTTCTGCATTGAGATCAGATGGTTCAAATTCTCAAGGGTTGAAACTTGAAACAGAAGCATATGAACCCATGCAGAGCTAATGAAGTAGATATGGAGGAGTATGTGAATTACAAAATGCATTGGTCTATTAGGAAAAGATATCACAAGATGAGGCATGCAGAATATCAACTTTGTAAGCATGCGAATATAACACTAAATAGCACGGCTTTGATTTTTTTAAGAGCTAAATCATTATTTTTTGCCCCTCTTCTAGAGCTCCCTCGTTAAGCTTTTGATTATAAAAAGTTGCTTTGAACATACAATAAACTAATCCAAACACACACCAAATATCCTAATAGAATAGTTCTACCTTTGAGTTCAGATATACCCTGCAATTAGTTCACAAAAGAAAAAAGACAGCAGTCTACTCAAGGCATTCAAATTAACAGTTAACATGTTGAATGTGGCATGGCCTACGTAAGAAATGCAAGTTAAAAATACGCTTTTACAAGTGTCAATTGTTGATTTGAGTACCTATAGGAGACCATACCCACATTAGTTAATTTAAAAAACAATTTAGAAACTCCAGACATAGGGTGTCAGACGATGACCTATGCACGAACATGAGAAAATTCAAATAACATATTTATAAGTAAGTATAAAGATCAACTAAGGTGTCCATCAGTCCAAGGTTGGAGTGTACCCTAAAATATCCAAAGTAGGACTGAGAAAAGGACAGTCCATAATGGAAATAAAAATAAGTTAACGGAGACATTAAATCATACCTTGCACATGCTAAAGATGAGGCTAAGAAAATGAGGCAAAACCAACACAGAGTGAACAAGTTTTCTTGAACCAATTACTTAAACTAAACTATAAACATGAAATTGATATTTGCAAAATAGCCCATAAAGTTTTTTAGATTATAGGAAGAAATTGAAGACAGGTCCCACCTTTTATTTCGTCCAAACTAGAATGAAGGGGTATTCTATTAGCTTCCAGCATCCTGGTTACATCCTTACCAGAATCATAAGCCCTTAGAAAATGGTCCTCGATATCTTTCAAAGCTTCAAGCAACTCTCTCCCCTCAGCTGGTGTATCAAGAACTGCAAGCCCCCTTTGCTCCCCTTTATTTTCAGGGACATTCACGACTTTAACAGTTTCAACACTATTCATCACATGCTCAACACCTTCATTGTTGTTATTATTATTATTCCCTTCAACACTCATCACTTTGTGCTCAAGCTCTTCTCTTTCCACTTCCTCCTCTAACTCTGGAATCCCCTCCTCCTCCCTCACTGCCCTCAAATCTTCATCCGAGTTCCTGTGGTAGCCACTGATAACCTCAGTCCTCACACTCTCAAAAGGGTTGAAGAAATCCCACCCAAAATCTCTCTGCGGTGATGGCATTGAAGGTGGCACAGGCATAGGCATGTGCATGTAGTAGTACCCACATGGCTGCACATCTTGCACTTCTTCTCCCTTACCTTCATCTTCTCCCTCCCCTTTTTCTTCACTCTCTTCCTCAGAAGACTCTGAGGTTGTAGAAGAAATGCATGAGTCACAAGCAATAGCTTCATGCTTGGTTTCTGATGGTGTCTGCTGGAGGAACATGGGGTTGGTTATCACATTTTCTGTTGGTGGAGGAGAATGAGAAGGGCAAGGAGGAGGGAAAGTTATGAGGAAAGGTGATGAAGGTGAAGAATGGCGTGCAACAAAGAGCTTAATGGCTGCAGCTACTGCATTCAAAGAGTGAAAATACTTGCAATGAGCCTCTGCAAGTGCGTATCTTTTCTCCACAGCTAGCTTTAACAAACGTTTTCTCTCTCTACAGATAGCTACTACTTCCTCTTCTTCCTCTAGTTTGGAGGCAACACATCCCATCTCTCTCTTTCTCTCTCTGTTGTGTATTAAGTGTTCCTTATCTTCAGCAGCACAAGGGTTGGATGCTTTTAGAGGATGGAGTGAGAAAGGCTCTTACTTGTGGAGTGTGCTGTTCTTTTCTCTGACAAAAAAGGAGGGAGCTTTCCTAGACACAGAGAAAGAACTTTCAACTGGGTTTTAAAAGAGACAAGTTTTCAAAAAATAGCCTTTTTAAACCATGTTTAAGTTTTGGAATAAAACCATCCCTCTTTTTGAGACAAAAAATGCAGATGTTGTTGAAGAAGCTTTAGAACAACCCGGCAAAGATTTTACATTTCCATCTCTTGAGACTCAGTAGATCAGCACTTCTCACAAGTCACCAGCTAAGAACAAGATGGTGGTGATATTTAGACATTAAAAAAATGTTAACAGTTTAACATTTTTTATAGTCAAATTTTATTAAAATAATATATTTTACAATTGTAATTAATAAGTATACTTTATTTTGATAAAAATATTATTTCTTATATTCTACAATTAACAAAGTACTTAAAAATATATGATGTTATTATTAGTAGTATTAGTGAGTTAATGGAAATATTATCCTTAAAAAATGTACCATTAGCAGTAAATATCCTAAAATAAACTGCAAGTCTATAACTTGACTACACAGCAATAGAGGGGAGAGAGAGAGAGAGAGGGAGGTAGGGGCTCGAGAAAGAAGGGTTCTTTCTAGTGTTTGGCAATATCCACTTGATACTTGAGTACGGCCATGGTGAGGCATTCCTTGTTAAAAAGAGTAGAATGGCATAGAGAGTAGAGAGATTAAAAATAAAACACATAAAAACAAAAAGAAAAAGTTATTATTTATGGGAGTAAAGAGTGAAGGTAAGAGAAGGACACAGATGCAGGGAAGAGTGAAGGGTGGTGGTGACTTGTGAGTAAAAAGAGGAGTCAAACAGAGAGAGAAAGAGGACTTTTTGACCTAAAAACACATTTAATAGTAAAATTGTTAAAAAAATTAAAATAAATTGTGCTACACACTGAAGTGTGACATGTATGTATTGTGTATTTTTTTAACTTTTTTTTAATACTTTTACTGTTTAAATGTTTTATTTTAATATTTTAATTTTAGATTTCTCTATTTAATAATAATGTTTTAAAAATTAACATGTTTTTAAAATTAATTTATTTGGGCCAAAAAAGGGCGAGAAAGAGAGAGAAAACCGTTCCACTACACCAGAGGATGGTTTTGTTTTTGTCAGTAAACGGTGTCTTGGTTTCCGTTTCTTTAGACTCTAGTCTTTGTCTTCTAATCCTCTTATAATGAGAGAATAATTGTGTTTATTTATACCATAAAATAAAATCATTCTCTTTTATTTATAATATTAATTGATATCATATATATTATTTTAAATATGTAGATAAATAAAAAAGTATTTTATTACATAAAATAGAAATGTATTTAAAGACACATATTGAAAAGTTAAAATTAAATGTTATATTTTAAAATACTATTTTAAATTTATAAAAAAATATTTATTACATATTTCTTTAAATATATATTAAAAATATTTTTTAATTTCTTAACGTATCCCATTAAATAAAATAAATTCTGATCCAGTGAAGGTTTAGCACAACAGATACATGGCAGTCAGAGATGTCTCATAGAAATGTTTGCATTAATGACGAATTTATCCCTTAGATCAGATGCCCTGCCTCACTACTGGTGGCTAGATTTTCCCAATAAATATTTTCAGCCCTAACCCCTAACCCCTAACCCCTAACCCCTAACCCTAACCCTAACCCTTTTATATTCTATTGCTATTGCTAATATCAACCTCAGTTTATGTCACTTAAGACACAATCATAATTGATTTAGGTAAAATAAAATTATTATGGACAATAAAATCTTCCTTTCCAGATTATAATCTATTTTAAAAATATTTATATTATTTACTTATTTCAAAAAATATTTATTTTTTAATTAATTTTTAAAAAAGTCATAAATTTTAATAATTTTGTGCAGTGTAAAAAGAACTCACACAGCATCAATAATAACAATAGCAGTTGCAGTGACCATGCACTGTTTAATGTTTCCATTTCCAACCAAATCTAAAACTATAATGCATGGCATCATCGTAGCTGATTAATTTGAAGAAGAAACAAAGTAAGCTTTCCAACGAATGAAGAGAATAATTCCCCATAAGGACATAGCCATTTGTCAAGTGATCAAAACAAGATGAACCCTTCTCATTTACATTCAGCTATTCCTAATCGTTAAAATCCATTTTGCTGTGCCTAAAACTATCTACTCTGTCCCTGCTTTTGTTGCCCCACCAATCACAATTGCAATCTTTTTTATCCTCAAAAAATTTTCATTTTAATACTACCAAATTTTTAAAAAATAGTAAGATTAATTTTATATGTATTGATTATCTTTTATGTTCCCTCTTCAAAGGTAGTTTTATTTCATCATTCAATTAAACTACTTTTTCTAAGTTTATTTCCAAATACGTGAACTTTTTAGGTCGATTTTTGTATATGGATCCCCAGCAGTCAACTTTTCATAGTCATAAATCTCCACTATTCATTTTACTTTTAAAATTTAACAAAATTAATTAAATGGAAGGAAAAAACAAAGTTGAATCATTGAATGATGAATGCAGGAAAAATGACTGCAGAGGATCCAGGTCCTCAATTCTCTTATAATCATTTATGCAACAACATTTTTTAAATAAAATTTCAAAAAATGAAAGAAACGAAAAATCTCCCTATGAAGAAGCCCAATAGATGTTTATTTCATATTGGAGGGCATATATGTAACGTTGTTCAATTAGTTTCGTCCCATTTTAAATTTTGACAACATCGATTTTACTAATATTGATTTTAAATTATAATTCAATAAAAAAATTTACATTAAAATGCATATCATAAAGTGTAAAATTGATTCTAGTACTAAACCAATCAATTGAATATAACAATGAATACATAAGATCACATCATGCAACATCTACGTGGTGCATTTGCATGGTAATTTTACTGTATCCACTCTCCAGCACCTGAAGGCTAAAAAGAACATACTCTGCAATGCAAGATAGCAACAGTTTCTAAATCACAAATTGTAATGGTGAAAAGGATATGTAAGTGAACAAAGTAAAAAGATAAAATGGTGCCAAGGCAACTCTTATAATGGTCATCAGAATATCTCTTCTGTTCTCTTGGTTTGAGGGAGAAAAGAAAAAGAAAAAGAAAAAACAAAAACCTAAACATGAGTATTAGTATTCTAGTAAGTAACAGTTCACATTCAAAGAATTGAAGTGCTGCTCCTCTGATTGCTATTTGAAGATAACTTGTATTCACACAAGAAAATGATACAACAAAGAAAAAGAAAAAAGATACAACTTTAGATGAGGTAGCACCTATCTATGTTGGTGTGGTACAAGGTGCCAGTGTGTTATGAGGCAGGTTGATACCACCCCCTCTCACAGAAATACTAGGAAACTTCACAGTGCTTGCCCTGCTCATGACATTTGAGTCAAGATACACAACAATGACTGTGATATCATCATGGAAATGTCGACGAACTCCACGGTCGATTTTCTTTAGATCTGAATACCTCATTTCTCTCTTCTTTGCTGCTTCTTGAAGTGCAGTTTTTACCAGCCTCCTTGCACTTCCCTGAAAGAAGGATGGAAGATAAAACATGAGTCCATTTTGCACTACCTGGAATTCTTCAGAACCTCATAATATATAGTAAGAATGAAATGTTAATAAATTGTTTTCAAGCCACATGCTGGAAAATAATTTATGTGTCATGCAATAGAGCAACTTAACCATATTATCCGACACCAATATCTTAGTCATCTATCTAAGATTATCCAACGGATTATCTATAGCTTGAAGGCTAATTTGCACTATCACATTTGATTATAACAGACCATTTATTTTGCAAAGAGTTATTCAAGTCAAGGGAAGGCTAAAATTTCATAATGAATTTCTCTATGCATTATTATATCAGACAACTCTTTTGTTAGAATTTAAGAACAGTATCTCAGTAACTTAAATATTGCATGATTACCCAAAAAAGGCCATTAGATTACACATCTCATATGGAAAAGCGCTCCACTCTTAACTCTAATATTGACATTTTCTTTATATAGAATTACTTTCACTGTTTTAGGCAAACTCAATTTGCAAAGGCTGCTGAAAAAAAAAAAACATTTAGATTGCTTAGCTGCATCAACTCAAATAAATGCAACATACTTAATCGATATAGGTGTACATCATAAAGCTTATGGACAATTTTCGTGGCACTAACTTCCATTTTCTGGGAAAGATACATGTCCCATCATCTTAATGGACATTATAACAACAACCAAACCTTATCCCCACTACATGAAATTGGTTATATAAATCACAGGTCACACGACGTCATTGAAATCGGTCAAAAACCAAATTCACCATCTTAATGGCCATTGTATATAACAAAATTCAACCTCATCTCCATGGAATAAAATAAAATCACAACAATTTTTTAAGTTTCCAGTCTAAAAGAGATATAAATGTTTTCATTTTAATCTTACTGGTAGTAAAATAAGTTATATGACACCCTCTAGTATGGTCAAATTTAAGTTTGTATCTTACATAGCGGGGATTGTTTTGAACTATATCAACTGCTTCTTGATTGCTAAGGTGCTCCCAGAGTCCATCAGATGCAAATATAATAAATTGATCAACTGGCTGCAAATGATGCACTGATATTGATGGTTCTGAGCTCAGTATTGGCCTCTTGAATGGCTCACGAAGTCGAAACTTAGAATATAGTGGTTCTCTATTGAACTCAGCCTTTTTCAAATATACATCACCAATAGATCTAGAAACCTGAAAGGGAAAAAATATTTTAGAATATATAATGTAATTCAATTGAGAGAGAGAAAGATGTTTCAAGCCAAGTTTAGTTTGCTAAAACAAAAATATTAAGCACTGAATTAAATACATTAATGCATCTTGATAAAAGTCAGTGATGACAATTGACAAAGCCCAGGGTTTAATAGGAAGTACCAAGAATTAGATATGACAAGCCCAAGGCCAAATTTCATAAAGTAAAGAAAGATACAAAGGCATCAGTAACATTACTCTTCACAGAATATTATAAACAACATTTATAAAATGATGTAGAACAGAATTACAGAATGGCAAGGGAACAAATCTTTCTGCTCTCATAACTTTTAAAAATATCATAACTGTCATGATAAAATTAACCCATCTAACATATATAAACTGAAATGAGGAGGAATTATGCTGTTGTACTAAGACCACTTCAATAGCTATTCATTACAACCAATAGTTTTCTGGATTTATAAAGTCACGATGTATACCATAGAATTCATGCTATTCAATAACATAAAAAGTCTGGTGAAGTTGAGAACAAAAATCTCTTTCCACAAATAAACTTGACAATTTTATCTATCTCTCATCAAGAAAAGCAATGTTATTAGCTGCAAGCGACTTACTTGAATAAGGCCCTTCACACGCCATACATTATGCTTTAAGACAACAATGTTTGGATCATCAGGGTGCAAAGAATGCAGCTCCTGTCTTATAGACTCTATTGATGCATTGTGCTCTGTTGATAATTGCATGGCTAAAACCTCACCAGTTGCCTTGACTGCTCTTCCCAAAACAGCCCGGGAATCCCCAAGATTTGCTATATAAAGGGTTCCATTACAAATAACACCAACCAGACAGCATGACCCAACAGCCGCAATTTGTGGTGTTATTGCCCACTGTCTAGCGACCACTGACGTAAACCCCTCTTCTGTTGCTTGGAGTGCCTTGCGAATTACATCTGCTGACATTGATTGTTGCTCTGAAGTAAATCCTGAAATTTAAAATAGAGAAAGTATCTGTTTAATCAATAGTTGATAATCATGTGCAGAGCAATAGTTCAAGACACAAATAAATCCACGAATGACAGAGATGCAACTGAACACAGATATTGATAATAACAATTTTCTTAGTCTCGATTCTGCATAAACCTGACACTTTTTATAGCCTTAATTCATCACATACAGATAGAATGATAGCAAAAAAATAATGCGAAGGAAATCATCGTCAATTGCCACTTTTGGTAGACTTGCACCAAAAGAATGAAACCTCACCACCTATGGCATATCAATTTATCTGGTAAATAAGAAAAATAAAAGAAAGAATGAGTCTCACGTTGGCACATACTGGTTTCACACAAGGAAAAAATCTCGTCAAACATTAAAGCAAGCAACAGAATCCAAGTCCAAAATATTATATTCTCTACTCTTTCTAGCTGAAAAGGGTCTAGGTAAAATGGATTAGGTGACTGCTTTTCTTCCCCTGGCTATATCTATGACAATTCTTTGAATTTTTGTCCAGTTAAGAAGCAAAATTGACTATAAAAGGTTTGGAACCCATAAAGCAGATAAAAAAATATAACAATGCAAGAAGTCAAATCTTTGCAATACAGAAATGGTTGAAGAATTTACTGGTCTTGTTGTCAAACTTACTCTTGAGATGGGGAAATAGGTGATTGTTGATAAACCGCGATGTCTCAGGCCCTCCATGCCCATCATAGACACCAATGAAGGTACCATAAGGGCCAGATTCATTGGAGCACAAACTGCCTGATTCAATCTGGCTCTGATCTTCCAGCAAGTTATTGGCTTGGACTACAGCCATTGAAAATTCACCATTCGAGTGCTGCCCCGAGTCCTTGTACCACAAAAGCCCATCCTGTCTACCTCCAGCATCTGAACCTGAGCGTGCAATTCCATCCGAACCTGGCTGAAAGCAGGCCCTCAAAAAGTTCATCAACTCCGATAACATCCCTCATTTCACCAAACAACCGTCAAGGATTTCCGCATCGATCAACTACCCCAAAAAACAAGTTCCAACCCCAGAATTTTCATACACTGTAGATACACACAGTCCTGCACTCCTCACTAGTCCACCACAGTGATGATGATTATGTTGATGCACAACAAACTACAACAGCATCAACAAACAAATACAGTTAAAATCAATTATGGTCTAACTTCAAATACAACCCCATACTCGTATTTATGAACTAGAAACGTTCAAAACAAACTGTTTTTAACAAAATGATTACCCACAAACTGAAATTAGCTTCTCCAATTAAAAAAAAAAAAATCAATCTTTTTGGTTTCTTATAATCGCAACAAGAACTACGACCACACAGAACAGCTAAATATGAAAAATTCAACAAATTGGAAAAATTCTTTCTTTTTCTTGAAACGTCAAAACGCATTTTTTTCACATACAAGCTTTGGGGCAGCAGATTGGAAATCCCTTGTTCACATTTGCATTGAAAACAAACCCCCTAAAGTTATACAAGCTCAATCCAATCCAAAAATGACACCAAGATAGTACTTTCATCATCATATTGTACGGCAACAACAATAACATAGTCACAAGTCAAAAAAAGATTAAAAATAGTATGGTAAGAGATCTCACCCTACAATTGACTATTGATTATTACAAACTATTCAAGGTGAAGAGGGAAGTAGAGAGTGTGTGTGAAATCATTAGATCTGTGGATCCATCAAAGGAACAAAAGTGGGTCTTTTTCTTGGAAGGTTTAGTTTAGGAGCAAAATAAAAGGGTAGGAAACCGTTCAAGAAGAAGAAAAAGAAGAAGAAAGAGTGGTGCATGAAAGAGAGAATTGAAAATTGAAGAGTGTGAAAGTTTGGAGAAAGTTTGAAGCTTTTTTTGTTTCCTTACGATTTATCTCTGAACTGAGAGGAGAAGTCCCATAAAAAGAGCAACAATGGAGAACTTGCCTTGAAGCCAGCAAAGCAAAGGTCCAGCTATGGGCTCCACACTTGAAAGAACTAGAGAGAGAGAAAAGACACTCAATGAAATCAATTTATGAACTATCGAATTTTTTAATACAATTACATTTTTAACCGCTTTTATATATATGCTTATTAAAGAATTTTTTAAAAAAAAATGTGTGATAAGATAACTGTCATCATAAAATAATGTGCAATATTGTGTTTTATATCATATTCTATTATTTTAATCTTGTGATCTTTAATAAATGTATGAAATATGGTTTGGCTTGTAATTGTTATTTATGATCATCCACTTAAATTCGGAGGTATGAGTAAATTATCCTTTTAGTTGTGATTTGAATTACCAATTAATCTTTGTTTTTTATAATTTATTAAAATATCTTTTAATTAAAAATATTATTTAATTTTTAACATATATAGTTGTTAATTTTTTCAATTTTTTAATTTAAATAATAGATATCTTTTAATAAAAGTAATTTTTTTCTAAGTTAAATAAAACAATTATGAAAACTAAACTTCTATCTCCAACTATTTAATATAATGATATTTAGTGAGACTTAATGTCACATGTAGTAATATAAATTATTTTAATATTTATCATTATTTAAATGTGAATTTTTTTATTAAAATATACTTTTGTAGAAATAAATTATATATTTTAAATTATTTTACTTTCCAATAATAATATAGTTAATAGTTAATGGTTATTCAATTTTTTTTCACTCTCTGGTCATTTATCTTTTTAGTTTTGTGATTTTTGTCCACCTGATTAAATTATTCATACAATTGAGTTTTGATTTTTTTTCTTCTTATTCATATTAAATTTATTGATTTATAACAATCAGTTTTTAATTCACTTTTATTCTTATCATTTTTTTTTATCAGATTATACATATCAATTAATATATTTGATGTTTTATTAATTTACATCTATAGATTTTTAGTATGTCCTTATTTGTATGGATTTTATCAACTTATATTTTATAACAATTGTTTTCATTTCTAAAGACGACGAGCACAGTTAAACACAACATACCATTCATTGAAAGTCGTGTAATATAATAACATCAATTACATCTAAAAATAGTCGTTATAATAATAAAAAAGAAAGGGAAAACAACTGTTTAATGTTTCAATTTGCAACCAAAAGTATAACGGAGAAACCACATGGAATCGAACAGGACCAACCTTAATAGTTTATGCATGCCATCAATTTGAAGAAGAAAACAAAGGGAAGCTTTCAACGAATCAAGAAAACAATTCCCCACAATCTTCTCATTTCCATTGAGTTATTCAAAGTCGTTAAAAGCCACTCTGCGGTGCCTAAAACCATCTAATTTGTGCCTGTTTGGTTGGCCCACCTATCACAATTGCTGCAGAAACTATAAGATATTAAGTAGAGTTATTTGGCAATTTTATTTATCCTCAAAATATTTTCATAATGAATATATAGAAGCAAATATTTTTTAAAAATTAACTGAGATTCAGAATTTTGATAAATATTTATATTCACACTTTAAAAGTAAGTAAATTTCCTGTAATACACTAGATCCAGTTTGGTTATTAATAGGGTGAATAGGTCTGTTATTTTTAGAAATGTCTCTTATTCATAATCTCGGTGTTTTTGTTCAAAAATAAAATATTATTAAAATTTTCTGATGAAATAGGATGAATTGAGTTAATATTTTATCTTATCATTCAAATAAACTTTTTTTTTGTTTAAGTTTATTGCCAAGCACATGAATATTTTAATGTGGAATCTTTTAAAAATACTTCTTTGAACAATATTGAAAAAATTATCAAATATGAAAGAAATGAAATATCTTAGTTGAACAAGTCCAACTTATGCCTATTTCACAGGGAGGAAGAAGACTCGTGGGTATATGTAAGGTTGTTCTATTAGTTCGCAATTTCACTAAGATTGATTTTAAATTATAATTCAATAAAAAAATTTACATTAAAATGCATATCATAAAGTGTAAAATTGATTCTAGTACTAAACCAATCAATTGAATATAACAATGAATACATAAGATCACATCATGCAACATCTACGTGGTGCATTTGCATGGTAATTTTACTGTATCCACTCTCCAGCACCTGAAGGCTAAAAAGAACATACTCTGCAATGCAAGATAGCAACAGTTTCTAAATCACAAATTGTAATGGTGAAAAGGATATGTAAGTGAACAAAGTAAAAAGATAAAATGGTGCCAAGGCAACTCTTATAATGGTCATCAGAATATCTCTTCTGTTCTCTTGGTTTGAGGGAGAAAAGAAAAAGAAAAAACAAAAACCTAAACATGAGTATTAGTATTCTAGTAAGTAACAGTTCACATTCAAAGAATTGAAGTGCTGCTCCTCTGATTGCTATTTGAAGATAACTTGTATTCACACAAGAAAATGATACAACAAAGAAAAAGAAAAAAGATACAACTTTAGATGAGGTAGCACCTATCTATGTTGGTGTGGTACAAGGTGCCAGTGTGTTATGAGGCAGGTTGATACCACCCCCTCTCACAGAAATACTAGGAAACTTCACAGTGCTTGCCCTGCTCATGACATTTGAGTCAAGATACACAACAATGACTGTGATATCATCATGGAAATGTCGACGAACTCCACGGTCGATTTTCTTTAGATCTGAATACCTCATTTCTCTCTTCTTTGCTGCTTCTTGAAGTGCAGTTTTTACCAGCCTCCTTGCACTTCCCTGAAAGGATGGAAGATAAAACATGAGTCCATTTTGCACTAAACTTTTTACCTGGATGTCTTCAAGACCTCATAATATATAGTCAAAAACATATGTTATTGTTTTCAAGCCACATGTTGGAAAATATTTTATATATCACGCAATAGAGCAATTTAAGCATATTGTAGGTGACACCAATATCCTAGTCATCTTTCTTCTATCTAAGATTATCCAACGAATTTGCTATAGCTTGATGGCTAATTTGCACAACCACATTTGATTATAACAGATAATTTATTTTGCAAAGAATTATGCAATTCAAGGAAAAGGTTTTACATTCCAAAATGAATTTCTCTATCAAAAATTATATCTAAAGAAAAGAGAAGAGGTGTCTAAACCTTGTGTGTACATATGTGTGGTAAATAGAAGTAATTACAAATCTAATCATATACAATCAAATCTCCTATTCAAGGTAACGGCTATTTCTAATTACAGTAATGGTTATTTACATATATCAACACATGTTAAATATGCCTTCTAAAATCAGACAACTTTTGTTGTTAGAATTTAAAAGAACAGAAGTTCTGTAACTTGAGTACTGCATGATTATTCAAAGAAGTCATTAGATTACACATCTCACATGGAAAGACAATCGGCTCTTAACTCTATAATATTGACATTTTCTTTATATAGTATTACTTTACAGGTTACTGTCTTCTATTCGTCACATTCTCCAATATTTCCACTGAACTATACTGTATGCAAGAATTCACTATTTTTGATAAATTCCATTGCAAATGCTGTAGAAAAAAACATTTATATTGCTTAACTGCATAAGCTCAATTAAATGAGACAAATGATATTGGAGTGCATCATAAAGCTTATGGACAAATAAAAGGCCATTAACTTCCACTTATAGACTGGCAACTTCTCACGGCAAAGATATTGGACATTATATATAACCAAAATTAATCTTGTTTCTATGGAATAAATAAAACCGCTATAATGTCTTAAGTTCTCAGTCTAAAAGAGAAAAATATATTTATTTAATCTTACTGGTTCTGATATAAGTTTTATAAAACTATCTTGAATGGCCAAATTTAAGCATGTATCTTACACAGTGGGGATTGTTTTGAACTATATCAACTGCTTCTTGATTGCTAAGGTGCTCCCAGAGTCCATCAGAAGCAAATATAATAAATTGATCAACTGGCTGCAAATGATGAACCAATATTGATGGTTCTGAGCTCAGTATTGGCCTCTTGAATGGCTCACGAAGTCGAAACTTAGCATATAGTGGTTCTCTATTGAACTCAGCCTTTTTCAAATATACATCACCAATAGATCTAGAAACCTGCACGGAAAAAAAAATATTTTAGAATAGATGATGTAAATCAATTGAGAGAGAAAAGGATGTTTCAAGCCAAGTTTAGTTTGCTAAAAAATTATTAAGCACTGAATTAAATACATTAACCATCTTTATAAAAGTCAGTGATGACAATTGACAAAGCCCAAGGTTTAACAGGAAGTACCAAGAATTAGATATGACAAGCCCAAGGCCAAATTTCATAAAGTAAAGAAAGATACAAAAGCATTAGTAACAATACCATTCACTAAATGTTATAGACATAGTATTTGACTTCATTAGATCAAATTATTATGGAATTATAATAAAGAAATTACTAGAACATAATTACAGAATACCAAGGGAACGAGTCTTTCTGCTCTCATAAATTTAAAAATATTTTAACTGTTGTGATAACATTAATCCATTTAGCCCAGCATCTGCCATATAGCAACTGAATTGAGGAGGAATTATGCTATCATATTAAGACCTGACCACCTCGATAGCTATTCACTGCAACTGATAATTTTCTAGTTACATAAAGTCATGTTGTATACCATAGAACTAGTGGAATTGGGAAAAATAATCTCTTCCCACAAATAAACTTGACACCGTTAGTTTTCTATCTCTCTCCACCCCCACCCAAGTCTCTTTTACTACTGCACAACATAGCTCTGTATTTCTGAAACCATTCTTCACATCCTAAGAACTGAAATTTGTGCTTCCATCTTTGGAAGGTTATAAATTTAAAATGATATTAAGTGTTGTGAAGTATTTATCATTGTGCTCTCTACAACATGTACACGTAGCAGCTAGAATAGACAGATAACTGGCTCTAGCATCAAGAAAAGCAATATTATTAGCTGCAAGTGACTTACTTGAATAAGGCCCTTCACACGCCAAACATTATGCTTTAAAACAACAATGTTTGGATCATCAGGGTGCGAAGAATGCAGCTCCTGTCTTATAGACTCTATTGATGCATTGTGCTCTGTTGATAATTGCATGGC